CACACACACACACTCTCACACTATCTCGCATTGTACGCCGTCGCGTGGTCCGCCTGCGGTTTGCGAAATATAAGTGCGCGAAGCGGGAAAGTATGTCGAGTTGTATGGGCATTGGGGGTTTCGTCAAGATGGATACGCCTGATGGGCTTCCAATAAACTGATTGAATCGCGAGGACGGCTTGTCTTACCAGCGCCATCAATCATGCATCATCAGGGACCCGAGGAGGGAGCGGGAGGGATCGGGGAGGTGGGGGGGATGAGGCGAAGTCATGATTTTACACCGGTGAGCTTAATTGCTGAGGCCTATATGGGCGCGAATAAACCAACCGGGGCGCGCTTGAAAACTGTTGATGAGAGGAAACTGTGAGGAAAGGGTTCTTCGCAGCTGCTGTGCTGAACAAAAAGTGGGGCTATACTACATGTGTACAGGAGGGCAGCAGAGCAGGTTTTACAAATGGTGATTTTGTTGCCTGCTTGTCGAAGGCGGAGAGGGAGCGAGCGAGGGTGATTGATTGATTGATTGAAACTGATGCGAGAATTATCGCCGGTGCCAATAAAAATGACCCGACCCTAATCCGGCCACCCCATCCACACCCCGCGGTACCCCTTCCGCTCCCCGCCCCGCCCCTGGACTGCTGCGGCCGCAATGCTTTGCCATGTAGTAGACCCTGGTGCTGATGCCTAATGCCTGAAGCAAGGAAAAGAGAGCAGCGAAACACTTCAAAGAGCGGGGGGGGGGGGCTGGCAGATTTTAGAGGTGGGTCAGGAAAAAAAAGAAGGTGCGCGGGGGAGTGCTTTTAGAGTGCGCCGGTGGTGCCGGCCGGGAGGGGGGTAAATGAATCAATGTGTTTGGAGGTGCGATACGCCCGTGTGGCCAAGCCGCCGGTACCCGCTCGAGAGGGAAGGACCAACAAGGGGGTGAGAGGGAGAAAAGAGAGAAGGGAAGGGAGAGAGAGAACGAGAGGGAGGTATGGACGGGCCCGTCGCGCTTCGTTGACGCCGGGGCGAGTATATATTGGTGATGATGCGGGGGGAGGGGGACGGAGAAAGATGTAGAAAATAGAGAGAGGTGGGGGGGGGGGCCGTCAAGGCCATGCGGGTCATGGGAATATTAACCGGGCGAGCGCGCACCTCCGAGTGACGGTGACAGTCCGGGTCATCTTGAATCGGGTCATCAAAAAAATATATAGCTACCCGAAAAAAAAACATTCAAGATTTTTCTTTGTAAGGAAACAAATAAAGAATTCCGTTTTTTACGAAAAAATTCAACATTTGTTTTTAAGAAATAAAATTTTCTACCTTTTTAAAAAAACTTTCAAGAAAGGATTCTAAATAGTTTCTTTTTTGTAAATTAAGGAATTTTGTCGGAACTTACCCTTGTCTTTGGTGGGGCTGTGCGGGGGCAGCTCGCAGTGCAGGGCGGCCGGATACCTTAGGAAGGGGCCACCGTTGTGGCCCCACAGGCGGTAGGCGGTGAAGCCCAGCCCGCCCAGCCCCAGGGCCGGGTGCCCCGGCGGCAGGCTGGCCAGGATGCCTGGCGCCGACACCGGCGGCTGCTCGGGGTCGACCATGTCCACGTCGGCGCCACCTGCGGTCAGAGAGACGGGGGACGGTTATAGGACTGCGCTTACCGAGAGTCGCCGTCGCCATACCGGTTTCCACAGCTTCTTAAGTCAGCCGGGCTCTGTGTCCTCGACAGTCATACTCTAAACTTTGGTGTGTATGAAAAGGTGAGCAGGTTTCAATGGTTGCAACGATGCCACTTCAATAGCATCTAGATGTTCACAAGTCAGTCTGTAACATGTGGTGGGTCCAGATTTGTTTTGCGTTACAAACCCTAATTCCGTAGTCTGAATATGAGTCCAGGAACTTTTCTTAAATTTGCTGCGGGTTATTTTACGATGGGCGTATATGCGGAAGACTCTTGCTCTGCGGGCAACGAGAACACCCCGTGTCAGCGCTGCGGTCTGTTTGCGCGCCCTGCTCATGTCGAGGAGGCTCCACACGGTGGCGGCGGGGACGCCTTCCCCACCCCGTCCCCCTCCCCGCCGCTCCACGCCGCGCGCTACTTAGACTCTGATTAGGGTTTGTACGGCGCGGGGCGGAAGCTATCCTGTTGCATCTAAGTGGCAGTGACTCTCTCTCCTGCGGAGAGGCCGCCTTCCCTTCCTCCTCCTCCTCCTCCTCCCGCCGCCCGCCTCTCGGTCCGTGTCGTTTCATTTTTCAAGATGGCGGCGTCGTCGTCGTCGGGCGG